TTATTTGACTATTAAGTAACTATTAAGTGGCAATTAAGTAGTGATGTTTATAAAAATTGGGCAGTTTCAGCAATGTAGATAAAAAATAATGTTTCAAAATTTATCAAAGACTTTCTTAATACACCGTATATATTTTAATTTTTTATACAAATAAAAAAAGGTTTAATTTGTCATTCAATTATCAAAAAAGTGTTTTTATTGATGAATCATATTTGAATTACATTAAAGACTTTATATACGTAATTAAAATCTCTACAAAAAATTTGTGTAAAGATTAGATCTTGTGATTTTGTTTTCAAAAAGAGACATCCAGAGTTGGCTGAGCAAAATCACTAAATCATCTAAATACTTGCATATCATAAACATAACCGGAAATCTTCTTTTTTATGTATAAGCAACATACTGTCCTAAAGATAATGATAAATATCATGTTTATTCCTAACACAATCATTTATTCGCAATTGCGAACCGGTTTTGACTCCAAACGTCTGTTCAACAAACAAAAGAACACGAACTCGTGACCATGAAAAATGTGTGAAGATCGCAATATTTTGCAGATTGTAAACAAGTTGATAAAAGAAGCCTTTGCTCAACTAGTTAATTGAAGGAATATTCTTTAACACTGCATGGGTGCTGTTTATAGATACAGTACACATTATAAGTATTAAATCTGATTTATGAGACCACGGAGCATAAATACAAGTAGTATTTTATCAGTTCCATCGAACTAAGACAAAAAAAAATTTCTTCTGTTATTAATAAATGAATGTTAAACAAATATTAAAAATACGAAATACATGGTATATCAAAAAGGCGTAGGAAAAATAAACGATTTCAATGCGTAAGATTTCACATAGTATAAACGAAACTGTAAAAAAACAAAAACGAAGATAAAAACAACTTTCTTTAAATAAAACCAAAATGATGATAAGGTGTTTGCGAAACATATTGAGTGCGACACTCGTGAAAAGTTGTGTTTTCGAAATAGATCATAAAGTAAAAATCATGTGTATCCATAAAACCTTACGGTAAATGCATATGAAAAAATTTTAAATTTAAAGTTGAGTAAGTTTAAGAACTATAATTTTTGTAAGTCAAATTATCCTTATGTTCCGTTAGCCTAGCGGCAAGGTTAGGCGCATTCTGCTTGATGGCTCTTATCACTTTACTATCTTTATTTACGAAATACAGTAATATAGAGGTAAGTCTTGGAAAAGTCGCCAAAAGAACAAACAAGTTTATTGTAAAACTCACGTGATTGGTTAACGCAATATTTATCTACAATTTGAAATAATTCTATTGAAATTATTAACGGGTTAATATTACCACACATCGCACATAACAAAAATTTATAATCTTATTACGATGTACGTAACAAAAATTCATACAATTTAAAGTCAAACTTGATGAAGTGATAGAATCAGTTTCGGGTGCTCCTATATAGAATAGCAAATTATTTCTATATAAATTTAAATACATAAGCATAAATAGAACAAATAGATTTCCTACTTGTTTCTAACCATTTGGAGGTTAATTTACGGTGGGGATGTTTTTCACAGCATTTTTCCTGTTCTTTAAACACAGATCCTGTGATCATAATTTCCAAACCAAGCATTTCGGATACATAATAAACACTCGGACGTCTGTTAGGATCCTTGTCCCAACACTTTCGATAGACTTCTATGTACTCGCACGGCGTGTCTGGTACCGGGTTTTCCCTTTCACCACATAGTATAGCCATGATATTGTTCCGACATGGTGGTGTCCCACTCGAAATCTCCCAAAACACTACCCCCAAACTATATACGTCAGACTTTTTTGTAAAATTAGCATAAACACCTTCATTTAATATAACTGGATCCACGAATGGTATCATTCCTTTGACAGTTGAAAATGTTACGCTTTCACGGGACAGGACTTTCGACATTCCAAAGTCTGTTATTATTGCCCGAATTTTTCCGTCACTTATCGACAGAAGGATGTTTCTTGTATGCTAGCCATAACAATATACAATTAAATTATGTAAACATAAACTATATCATGCATTTCTCTTACCAGGTCTCTATGCAAGATTTCATTGGAATGCAAAAAGTCTAAACCATTCGAAACCTGTCTGCTAATGTCGATCTTTTCTTTCCACGTGATCTCTGTGGATTTCTCTTTTAAATATATACGTAGATCGCCCAATTCTGCACACTCCAAAACTACCATATAGGATCCATTCACTAAGGTAAAAATATATTAAAATCACGTGTTCATTATAATGAATTTTTGTCCAATATATAATATTACCGTGACTAAACGAAAAGGTATGAAAAAATAACGTTATTAAGGTCATTATGTTTGTAACATGTTCTTATTTAAACATACCTTGACAATCCAAGAAACTCTATAATATTTTGGTGGGATCCTCTCATATTTATTGTACCGTAAACTTTAATCTATATAATGGATAATTTAAAAATTACTCAATATAACCATATGTTAAGGCAGAAAATGATATATACCTCTCTAGCAAGCTCTTGATATGACTTTGCATTCACTGATTTTAGAACGACATACTTTTTACTACTTCCGTTAGTCCATAAAGCTTTTTTTACTTGACATGTCCCTCCATCCGCTATATATTTTATTAGATCAAATTCACCATAACCAATATTCTTTATGCGCATATCTGTTATCAGTTTCTCGATCTGTCGGTCGGCAAGCTTAAATTATTGATATAAGGAATTGAATGAGATTAGAAAAATCCGAGTAAGTCTATTTCAGAAGTATACTCACCAAAGTTTCCGAAAGGTTCATTATTATCTTCACGTGACTAAAGTCTATGACAATATATTGTGTCCAAATGAATACACCTTGTCGTTGTTAGTATTTCATTTAAAGATAGATTCTATGCTATTGTCCCTTCTGCAAATCATAACCGCAAAACTCAAGGATTCAACGATTCTGAGAATCAAATGTACTATTTAGTGTGTTAGAGGAAATCAAAAAGGTGAAAGCGTATAAAGAAGTATATGGGTGTACAAGTTGATCGACCTAAAAAAAAAAATTAATAATGATACCAATATATTTACCTTTTAAATTTGCGTATATGGAAAGGATAATGCTCGTTTGCCTAGTGGTAAATTCGATGTTTATATAGAAAATTTGACATCCAAAAATTATCTGGTGCTCATACTGAGAGATATACAATTGAATTCATGCATTAAAATATCGGACCTGCAGCATCAAAAATTCTAAACCCGAAATGGTACGCTACGCGCTAAAGGTACGCAGGTCATTGGTCAGACACTGACCGAAAATGGTAGGTCAAACCCTGACACTGACCGAAAATGTTTTATTGTTCAGGATGGAATCAAACAAAAAACGTTAGTTCTACGAGGAAATGTTCTATTTAGATTATTTAAACCAATGACGTGACCAAAAAATATAATAATAATATTTTTAAATAATATTTTAATAATTAATAATTAAAAATTTTTTTTAATTTCGTTATTTAACTTCATAAATCAGAAGTTTTTGATAATATATATTTTTATCAAATTTTATGAAAAATTAAAAAATTGAATACTAATTCAATATATAATATATACAATATTTTAAAAAAATTTTATAATAAAATAAACAAATATATATACTTTGTCCAAAACATCTTTAAGCAAATATTTTTTACAATAAATAAATATTTTATTTGTATATTTAATATAAAACTTTAAAAACATTATTTTAAAATAAAAAATCAAATACTCGATTTTTTTTAAATACTTTATTAATAAATTTATCTTGAAATTTAATTTTTAAACCAAAAAATTTGATTAAAAAATTTTTATTTTATTAATAAAAAATTATAAAAATATTTTTTACAATATATAAGTTGATTTTATAAAAATTATAAAAATTATTTTTATTTTTATTTTATTAATTAATAAATAAAATTATTATAAATAATCATTATAATTTAATCACATTTAAATTTTTTAAAAAAATTTTTAATATTATAATTAATTTTAATAAAAAATTTTTCAAGATAATAATTAATTTTAATAAAAAATTTTTTAAGATAATTAAATATAATTAAATTCACTTATTTTATTAATATATATTAATATTAAGAATTGTTTAAAAAACTTATATAACCACTTCCTTAAACACTATATTAAAGCTTTAAAGGTTATAAAAAAAACAATCAATAAAAGCAAAATAATTACAATAATAATTCTTTTTTTAAACTTTCAAAAATTGCAACTGCAATCTTTCAAAAAATTACTGACAAATTCTCATATATTAAAAACCTCAAAAAAATAATGAAAATTTTAAGTAATAAAAACTAATCAAACTTAATAAAATTATTATTTAGGAAATACAAAAAGGAATAAAATCAAACTATCACAAATTTTGAATCAGATCTAAAAATATACTCAAAAAAATGCTAAGTAACTTAAAGTCTTTCCTCAATTTTTTAATACATATAGGAGATAATAATCAACTTTATAACTATTTAAATGAGCTTATAGCTATTATCTCTAATCATTTCAAAAAAATCTTAGACCTTAAATATTTCTTCCAAGACAATAAATAAGATATCCACTATAAACTACTTAATAATATTCCTAATAATACTTTTGATAATTTTATATTAACAATTTCAGATCTAAAAATAAAGGAAGTATTTGTTAATCTGTCTAAATAAAAGGTATCTGAACTCACTCTCATCTTATATGAAGCCTGGATTTATATCAGTACAATAGTAAAAAAATATCTAAAAACTCTATTTAATAGTTTGCTATTATTAAGTCTAAGTTCCTAAATTCTAGAAACAATTAATAATTACTTTATTATCAAAAAAGATTATCTAATCACATAATCTTACAAATACATATTCAATCTTACTTATCGAAACAAACAGAAGGATTTTTACAAAAATAATTAATAATAGACTTGCTATTAAGATTTTGAAGCATAAAGTTATTTTAGAGTCCAATTATACAGGTTTAAAAAATCAGAGTATTACCGAGCCTATTGTAATAATCATTTCAAGTATCAATATAACAAATAATCTTAATAAAGAAATTTGAATTGTATTATTTGACACCTCTAGAGCTTTCAACTTTATAAATTTTTCTAGTTCCAAAAAAGCTTTAGAATAAATCAAACTTCTAACAAAAATCAACTCTTTAGTCTTTAATCTTCTAAACAAAAAAGAATTAAAAATAATAATATATTATAATCTTTTTAATATTCTTATAGTTAACAAAGGTTTCAATTAAGGTAAAATACTATTCCCCTTATTATAGACTATTTTTTACAACTCTATAATTACAAGAATAGCCACAAAATAATTAGCAACTTCCAAAATTTTTACTTATATGAATAATATTACTCTTACTAGTTCAAATATATAATTTCTACAAGAAATAACAATTTTCTATCTGTTTGGCTATTCTAATTAACTTTTCTTTATTTGAGTTATTAGTTTATAAGTATTTTGTGATTTTATTTTCTTTTTCTGTCTGTTTTCCCTAACTATAATTCTGACTCTTGTTTGGATCTTGTTTTTCTTATTTTGTATATTGTACATTATTGTACCTGGTGATTAGGGCTTCTAACGATACCACTTCGATACCATTTCAATACCAGTTCGATACTTAAATTTACTATAAAAACATATGAGTAGGTCACAACCCATATATTAAATTTACTATAGATCGGTACCATTTCGGTACCATTTCGATACCAGTTCGATACCAGTTCGGTACTTTTTCAGAGCCCTACTGGTGATATTAGTATTTTATTAAGATATTCTAGGATCTGGCTATAAAGCTTTACATTGTGTACAGTTTTAGTTACTGGAATAATTATTGTTTGGTTTACTCTTACAGTATTTCTTTAATGTATTTATCTTTTGTGTTGTCTTTATAATTATATTCTTAATATTTGATTATAAATAAGTCCTCCCTTATTTGTCACATATGTTATACTCTAACTTTGTTATTTATTATTTTGCATTTGTAATCTATTTTTTCAAGATATATTTGTTGATTTATCATGTATACTAAATATCTTTACTTTTGAATATTGTGACTTTTTACTGCTTCTAACTTTAGAATTGAATTCAGTCTTGTCAAGTCAATTAATATGATTATATACCTGTTTTTTAATATGTCTGGTTGGTTACATTTCTCTCTGATTTCAATAAACCATCTTGGCTGTTTTCCTGTGGGTTTACATCCTATAGTGGCTCTAATTTGTCTTCAGTTTAGCATATGTGTTTGTTGAGCATTGATAATTTGTTTAATAAACATCAGATTGTGTTTTCTAATATTTATATTGTTATTTTTGCTTTATGTTTGTCCCATTATTTCTTTAATTGTATGCAATTCAATGTTGTTATATGTTTGTATCAGACTATAGCTTTAATTTTGTTCTACAGTTATGTTTTTTTCCTTGAACATTTGTAGAATTTGTCTTGTTAAGTATTTATTGATTTGTCAATTGTTATTTCTAGTTGAAATATGTTTTTTAGTGTCTACAGATTATATATTTTATTTAATAATGTTTTTAAAATAAATTATTAAAAATTTTTTTAAACATATAATTAATTTTAATTATATTAAAATTATTGTTTTTTTATTAAATACAAAAAATTGCCTATCAATTAATTTAATTTAAAATATAATGAATTTTAACTAAAAAATATAAATTTTATATTAAATATAAAGGTTTTAAAAAATTTTATATAATAAAAAAATAAACTTATTTTAATAATATTTATTAAATAAAAACTTATACCCATTTATTACTGATTCTTGGAAAATTTTCTTTTATGATAATTTCCCTTGAAGAAATACTTTCCACTCTCATAACATGTCATTTATACTATAAGCTTAAGAATATAAGAACTTTAAGGACTACTGTTGCATCAAGATAAAATCTCTAGGTAAAGGCCAAGCAAATTTGATAATCTCGTTTGTTCTTTGTTTGCATAGGAAAAAATTCATAGTAGTCTTTCTTTATGAACCTGTCTGTTTTTATCTTTTACTATCAATACTTTAATATTATTATTTTTTTACCATATTTCAATATTATGAATCCACTTCTCAAGCTATATTATAACAAAGTTTTTGAATCTTTTGTTTATTTTAACTCAGCCTTAACCTTCTCAAATATTTTTTTTCTGATGCATAATATTGCATCAATTTATTATATACAAAAACCAAAATCAGTTTCATTCTTCCAAATGATCATTATTTTCCTAACAACCAATTACAAACTGTTAATATAACATCATAACAATCAAACAAGTCTAAATTGATTTCAAATTACAATAGTATCAACTCTATATCACATCATCTCAATAACCTATCCAACTATAATAATAACAATCTCAATAATAACAATAACTCCATACTATAATATTCCAACAATTTTTCCAATAATCTATTTAACTTTATCAATTTTTCCAATTCAAGTAATAATAATTTTATCATATTTATATGAAAATACTAAGCTTATCATATATCTTATTTAACTTTTAATTATTAACAATACTATTGTTTCAATAATCAAAGTCACATATTTCTATCACCATTAGTATTTCCCACTAGCCACCTACAACATTAATAATATTATTTTTCTTCTTAAAGCATATCATCTTTATTTCTTACTCCTTGTTTCACATATAGCACCACTTACATATCAACAAGTACCAGTCCAAGTTATGAGTTTGAAGGTCAATTTGAGGATTGTAATTGCAATGCTTTCATATAATTCAACAAACTTGCATATTAGCTCTGGAAAAGCATTAAATATCCAGCATTAAAACTAATCTAAAGTACATTAAATATATTGAAGGTAGTAATAGTTAGCATCATAGATAGATTAACATTAATTTGCAGATTTACTTTGTAAAGATGTTTGATATAATTTGAATATCATATATATATCAATAAAGCTTTGCATCTGATATCTTTTTATGATAAAAAAAAAATATTAAAAATATTTATTAAATATAATAATAAGTATTTTATAATTTTTTTATAAACTCAAAATTTTTATTGATTCTTATATTCAATTTTTTTTTAATTTAAATCAATATTTTCAAACAAATTTATTACTCAAGTATTAATAAAATATATATATTTGAATTTTTATCTTAAATTATTATTTATTAAATCATAATAAAAGATATCAATCCAATTATTTTTTATCTATACTATATATTTCTATTAAAAATACAACTATTTATCATATTTTTAGTATTGAAAAACCATTAATATTAAAATCAATCAAAATAATGATATTGAATGAATTAATATTTTTCAAAAATATTAATTTTAATAGTACTTTCATCTATTAACAACATATTTCATCATCTTCAACAAGAAGATTCTTCGTTGTCTGTCTACTCAAGATCGACTTTCTGTTCTTCAACTTATTTATGAACTCAATAACATGTATATTATTAAAAATAATTTGTGCATATATTTTTATTTAATTAAATTAGTGATATGACTAATGGTTTGCAAAATAGTGTCATATTAATAGAGTGGACTGTAACATAATTTAGAATGTAAATCGCAATAAACATTTTATTAACTGTCTTATGTTTATCATTTATTAAAATCGACTTTTTATAAGCAACGGAACGTAAAATTATATAAGCCAATGAAACTCAACACACGCACAGTATATGATTTAGAGATGACCTGAAACCATAATATTTGATTAAAGTACGTAAGATGAGGTCAGCAATTTTCTCGTTTATTGTCGAGCATCATGATTTCAACGCATTCTTGAGAATGATAACAAGGACGATCAAAAAGCCAAGTAATCCCGCGTTAACAATATTTCCAGTTACTAAAGTATCCAAAGATGATGATAAGTAGAGAAGGTGATAATACCGAATATACCAAATATATTATTCTTACGATATGAAGGAGCATCGTGTGATGGATAAAGGTTTGATGAGATTGTCCCTATTATTATATACGGAATCAG